TTACAATCACCTTGAGTAACTTTTTCTGGAATGCAAGCAGACATACTTTTGCTTATATAGTTACCATGGTTCCAGTTCCATGTCTGGATATTAAAAATATCTGAGAAATAAACCAAACTTCTTTCACTTTCTGTTTCCTTACTATTCTTTGGTCTATAGTTTATTCAGACTATAACTGTAATCAATATTCTGCAGACAAAGAGAAGACTGCTTTCATTTTATCTTTTACCCCAATTACAATTAAAAAAATGTAAAAGAATATTAAAAATATTAAAAATCTATTACAAAGGACAATTTTGTAAAGATCTAGTCTAATACTAGTATCAGATTTCAAAGGAGGTACCTTGAGAGCATCTATTTAAACAGCTTCATATAAAAAAAACCTTGTAGCTAATGGCACCTGTCAAACAGATGCATTTAAACTAGAAGCAGCACTTCTTAAATCTGGAATTTTAACCTTGAAGACAAGGTGATCATGATTATTCCATACAACAAAATCACATTAGCCTTCACATATTTAAAGATTTCTTTCTTACAGTGTCCCCATTAAATGAACCAATGCAAGAATTGAAAAGCCTACGAAGTTATTCGCTCTTTCCTGCTTATTTATTGCCCTCTGCAGTAGATCTTACATTACAGAATTTGGGCAGTTACCATCTTCAGTTTGCAGCCTTATTATCTTGCATTGTATACTTCATTAGATTTTGAACTTGCAAGAAGTTTACCAACTTTCAGCACAAACTAATTTGTACTGAATGTGAGCCTAGGAGTATAGCAGTAATTCTCCAAAACATGCAACAAAAATTAAGCCTTTTAAAGCTCTGCAAATTCTCTTTCACACTGAAGATCTCTGCAACCTAGGAATCAACATACTAAAAAGATTCTAAAAGCATTTTGTCATAACTGCTTAACTTTACAATCTTGTTTTCTGTTCAACACCATGGAAAAAATCTTCTTTAGATAAATGTCATTTATATACACACTTCAAGTGAATCCAGAACTGTATTCTAAAGTAATCTGAAGTAATAACTTAATGTAGTAAATTTCTGAAGGTATACTATTTAATGCTGTGACACCATTTGAGACTATAAGAGTTCCACTAATTTGCTAGTTAGTTGAACATCACCTAGAGTGGGGGCTCGTCGCCTATCATCCTTCTACTAAGCCATGTAACTAGAGAATGGGCAAAAGAGCATTTACCTTCATGAAAGGCTGACATTGCAGCTAGCTTGGTTTTCAGTGAGGATGTCTGGAGGCCAGACTGATTAATGCAGAAGGTATTCAAGCAGCTTGGGTGTGGGATATGCATATGTTCATAAGGTTCCAATTGTTTAGCCTCACACCATCGTCCATTTGAAGTCCCATGAAAAAGCCCACTGAACTTCTTAGTTAGGAGACCTCGACATTTTCTCAGACACACCAGCTGCTGGATCTCTACCCACTCAGAAGCCAAGCTGGAAGTGAGAGAAATTCTCTATTGGCATGAAGAATGCCCTGGTTCTAGGTAAGCAAGTCTGGAAAAGTGTTCATTTTGTGAGGCACGCAACAGGCTCCACGAAAAAGAGGGAAGTGAGTTTTCGCTACTGAGAAGTCTTGCATCTACAACAACTCTCAAAACAAGCTTATCAAGGACAGAGCTGCACTGACAGCTTCTCCCACAAAAGGGCAAGATATCTCGTTACTTTTTTCTTTTTGTACAAATTACCATTTTTTTGTACCAATGGCAAAACAAATGCATCCCAAGTTTGCCCACTCTAAATGAAGTGATCTGTACTTCTGACCCAAGTATCATGCACATAATTACAATGCAATTTAATGACTTTTTCCAACAATGAAGGTATTTTTCCCACCTTCCTGTAAATAGCCATTTCTAGTATTTGAAAACCCTATAGAATGTCCCAGGTAAAATTAAATTTTTATATTCCCTTTTCAAATAGATAAGAGTAGAAATAGTAGCTTCCAAGACAACATAGCATTCTCTTAATTACAGATCCACATATGATCCATACAATCCACAATTTATACTGTAAAGAAACTTCTTTGTAAAAGAAGGACAATACTTCGAGAGAAACAAGCTACACTTAGGCTTCTGCAAGATTTAAGAACTTGCTCAGTTACAAGGAATTACAAAGCAAGTAAGGTAAAATGGTTAGTATACTATTAAGAAAACTACAGTCTTATAATCATAGCAGTAAGTAATTATCAGGAGCAAGTTCTAGAAATTCTTTACACAAATATAAAATACGCACAATTCCTTTTACCATTAAAACTTACCTATTATAGTATCTGCCTCCCATCATAAACTGATTGTTTGATGTTGGGCATATTTTAAAACGCTGAATATTTTCACTGGTCCGAAAATAAAGTGAATAATCACCAGGTGTATTATCTGAAGGCCTCACAAGAAAACTGCACACCTGACCAACTGAAAAGGTATCATAATAGCGTTACTTTTCTTAGAGTTACATATGAGCCCTTATCAAATCTATTTCCACATAAATTAGCAAGAATTGCACACTTTAAGAAATACAAAGTCTGTAAGGTAAGTTCCAACAGTGATCTGAAACCTGATGAGCTAGTACTAAACTGCCAAAATTAATGCAAAATGGTTTAGCTGTAGCTTGCAACCGAGCCACATCTCTGCCACCATCTCTTTACAAGAACATTGAAAAAAAATTTGAGAACATGTTTGCAAAAATTAACAATTTCTGTTCTAGTATTTTAAGTATACTATTTAACAATATGGGTCAGAAATCTTTGTGTTTTCATTTAAAGAAATATTTTCTCTATGAAAGGTCTAAAAAAGTTTATAATACATTTTCCTTTAGGTACATAAAAGCATACCGTCCACTGCATTTTCATGAAGACATCAATAAGTGATAATACTTTTTAAAATTAATTTGTGTATTTCAATCAAAAATTATTAAATGAACTGTACTTGAGAACATACTCAATACCATAGCCACAACAGTATTCTTCCAATGTAGTATTCTACCAAGGTAACAACCACACGGACTGGTCAGACTAAAACACTCACATATGTTCACACATAAAAGGAAGTTTTGACACAGGTTAATACAAATAGCATCACTTTGTGCCATTTCACTACCACTGTATTTCAGTCAGAAACACAAGTACCTGTCATCAGCAAATTGTAAGCCTCTTGTTTGGAGATCTTCCCATGGAACCATCTTAACAAAGATGAAGAGAAAAATTAGAAAGCAAGACTACCAGCTCTCTTTTTTGGCTGTGGTGACATCCAAGGCTCTGGCACCCATGAATTGATCTTTATTTAAAAAGACCTAATATATATAGATGTGGTAATCAATGATTATGCTACTTAATGATTCTGCTCTACCACCAGCATGACAAATGTTCAAATCCAACTGTGTTCAGAGATGAAAATGAATTGTCTTAATCAGTAGACAATTTGATAGGCATTATTTGAAGTCAGTCTCATACAGCAATTTACTTGAATCATGAAATCCAAAGCTCAAACAAGGAGGTTAAACACCGACAGAAAAACTCAAACTGAATTTTGCCAGAAGCTATGGAAATAAAACCTATGGAGAAAGAAAAAGTCGAGCTTTGTTCGACTGTTGAATACAAACTACTTTGATCTCATACCTTGTACCTTCTCAGAGTCCTGTGTCAGAGCAGTGTCCTAAAAAAGTTCAGCAGCCTCTGTCCAGTCTCAGCCTGATACTTATGACTATACAGAACAGCTTGACATGCTACAATTTAATATCTTATTCTGTCCTTTAATGGAAAGATAAAAATATGGCTTCTCTATGTATCAGAAAAGAGCTCTAGTTCCAACTTTCTTTTTATACTACCTTTATAGGTTAATTTCTGGCTACTGGAATGTTCGAAGGAGTCACTGTCTCCCCAGGACTCCTCTGAGTGGCACGAATAACTGTGGACAGACAGTATCAAAGCTCCAAGCATCTGCTACAAAATCCTTTGCATATAAACAAAAAATCCTACATTTGAAGGCATTCCTACTGCCAAATTGACTAGCAGAACACCAGCAAACAGTAAACAAACAACACACCCACCAGTGACTTTCTTTCTCCTAACAAGATATCAAGAAATGCCTCCTTCAGCAATCAGCCTCTTGGGAGACCACAGAGAAGAAGCAGCAGGTGCAAATACGGCAAGCAAATGGAGGATGGATGAAATAAGGCACTAGAAATTTTTTGGAACTTTCTTTTGCCACTCATCTTTACTACTGAAAATAATCTGTCAACAGCTTGACATATCAATACATTGTTGATTCCAAATTATATCCAGTCTTTAAAAAAGGTTAAGTATTTAAGCAAATAGAACAAATCTTATAGTCTGCTGGCTTTCTCTTTAAAGCTTAAGTGTTACTACACAAAGCTAACAGAGACAAGCTGTAACTATCACACTATCATTTTTCTAATGGTACTTTGCTCTCTCTCCAGCATTTAGAGCTGTGCAGATCTGGAAAAAAGGTTACCTCTAAGGCAAACATTATGTTCAAGAAATACTCCATTGTGCATGTTTTGGCTGAAAGTGATCATACAGGGCGTCATCTAAGATTTTGACACTGCAAAACCCATCAGCAATAGGGATACCTATGACAGGACTCTTTCATGTTAATTATCCAGGCATCTTCAGCAGCTAGTATAGAAAAAAGTCTTGAGATGAAAAAAATAAATCTCTTTGGTTCATCTTCCCAAAAGCTAGGAAATCTCATAGCTGAAGTTTACAAACAGTTACAATTGCTTTTAATAACAAAACAAAAATCCTTACATTTTGCCTTCATGTGGATCTTCTTCTCTTCCCTAATGAGAAAATTAACATATTAAGTGCAAGACAACAGTATAGCTCAGTTTAAAACAAACTTCATAGGCTAAGACCTTCTGTAAAAAAAAACACTAAGAAGTCTGAGACATTTTTGAAGTAAAAGGGCTTATTGCTGTTCTATGAAAAGTAGTTTCCTTTTTCATTCACTAAGTGGAAATTCAGCCAAAATACGGTATTTCAGAGGATTGCTTCTGTCATGTTTCAAGTCCTTCTTTACAGGTGGTAACTTTTTAAAATCTCAGCTTTCCTAAGGTTAACTTAATCACCGATACATCAGCCTACAGTTCAATAGGCTAGTACTGCCACTTCAATTTAGCCATTCACATCCTGACAGAGATCTGTGAGAAGCATCTGCAGGTAATACTGCTATTAGCAAAACACATGTACTGTGCAGGAAAATATTATCAAAAACATTTGATAATATTTGACTCCAAAGCAAAGCTGAGCTTGTTTAATTTTTTTTTTTTTCTGAAGGATATTAAACCATCTGTTCCCCTACAGTAACTGAATTATCTGCAAGTCACCTGCTTAGCTTCCTGAGCCCACACAAGCCCTTCCAGGTATAATTAACTCGTCAATACATTTTTAACCAACACTTCATCCTTAAAAAAAAAGAGGAAGACCTACCAAAAGGCAAAATTACATGCTGCATAGTTTGTGAACGTTTCATGGCAAACATAAAAAAGAAATGCAATTAAATGAGTAGCAGATTCTTTACCAGGACAGTTGAGTTGAGGAAACTGCCTCATAAATTTACAGTACCATTCATTTGTACTTTTCTTTGGAGAACACATTAATAAGCATTTTTTTAATAGTGAATACTTAAAGGTTTGTTATACTATTTTAAAACTAGTAGATCCAATTACTAGCTTTAGAAAAGTACATAACTAGAAAACAGGTAATTAAATGTCACTAGTTCTAGTTTATTTCAATATTATTTTACCAAAAAATCTCATTCATTTAAGAAATTTGAATATAAAAATTACTTACCACTTCTTCTACCAGGTCTTCTACAATAAGACCTTGCTCGTCTGTCCGTAGGTTTGTAACCCACATCCAGCCATCTTCCAATTCATTATGGACAATAAACATGTCTCCTTTAAGGAAACTGAAGAGGGTTACAGCAAGATTTAAATCAGCGATACAATCATAATATAAAGTTTAATGAACACAATGAATTCATGAGTACAATTTCCACAAAATAGTTGAGAAAACCTGTTTGTGAAAAATACATGAATTGATACCCTGAGCACATCACACGTATTTTTCCTCACAGTTAAGTGGCTATTATAGGAGTATTTATATTTTTGATGTACATTTAGTATCTAATACATACTTCAGTTCTGTCAACTTCAAAGTGTACTAACGATGTATAAAACAAAAATAATACCAGAACAGTATTAAAAGATAGTAAAGGAAATAACACTCCTTTCATCTGAAACTAATCTTGTATAATAAAAGCTTGTGGAATATCTATTCTTCATGTTCTCACATATGAAGACAAGTGCTGCAAAGAGAGTGCAGAACAGTTACCAGAGAACCCATGCAATTAGCTACAGGAAAAGTATAAGTAAGAAGCATTAACATCTTTAGGGGAATTTCATTTCTGGAAGGTTACTGTAAGTTACTCCACAAGTGCTATCCCAAACTCAGGTCATATGAAAACCTTCCATGGTAGCACAGCAAGACTTCTGAATCAAGTCTGATGATGCATCATGAAGCTTACTAACTATTATTTCAAACGGTGTACTTTAAATGAGAGAAATGCCATAGCAATTTGCTAACAGAAAAGGCATTAACTCAAGCACAAAGCAAACAGCAAGTATTAAAAAACAAAAAACAACAAACCACTATTGATAAAACAAAATAAATTCAGCTGCTAATGAATCTAAATCCTAAGAATGGGTGACAGACAGCAAGAGCACCCTCCATCAGCTCTATTACAAAGAACTATACATTAAGTTACGGCATGGAACACAAGCTGAAATTAATTCTGTAATACTTCAAACTTGCTAAATATTAACTAATGGTATTAAAATTTTAAGTCAAGATTCTGAACTGTATAGTTTTCAAGAGCATATTAATTTGACCTAGAACAAACTGAGAGCCTTGGTCCCAGCTATGTCACAAACAGAACTATTTTAGCCATGTGGATCTCAAAACCCAAGCACAGAACTTTGCATTTTAGCTGTATCCTAAAAGAAGGTCAAAGGTATAACTTTCTACTATTTTTGTTATGATAGCAAAGTAGTAAAATGCTTTTTCCTCTTAAGTTGGTAGGTGCAATACGGGACGTAATGGACTCAATCCATCTTTTTATTCTTAAACACAGTAGGAAGCCTTACTTGCAATACACAATTCAAGAGTCCCTTCCCTGTCCTACCACCTTCTTATCTGCTTAGAAAAACAATTTCGAAGACAAATATCCTCACAGCGTTCTTTAAAGAGGTTAGATAGGACTGGACTGTTAGTGTTGGCATAAATTCACATCCCAATGTCTATACAAAGCTCTCATATACCTTCCTCTGTATCTTAGGCTAATATTCCCAAAATAAAGAAAATTCCCAATTGGTGTGTTAAATCAGCTTATGAAACCAAGACTGCCTCATTACACAGATTAGAAATCACTACAAACCTATTTCAAATCCTTCCACTTCTCCATCTGAAGACAAATAATTCTGACATCTCAAGAAAGCAGTATCAATTCCAAGTAACCAGCACATGCTGGTTATTGGATATGGGACTATTTGTTTTGTTTTCTTTCCACATAGCCTCTCATGACAATGCAAGAAAAGCAGGGAGTACAGACAATCCCTAAGCATTAGAAGTACCAACGTTAGAAAGGAGTAACAGTTAACAGAAAAGCATGAGAATATGAGAAATAGGCCTGCAATTCAGTAATTTTTAAAGATCTTAAAATTATGGGAGATTACACATTTAAAAGTACCATTTGTTTAATACAGACTCTTTTCAAAAGGCGGGAGGGATAAGGGAAGGGAGAATTATTCTTGATCCATTTTATAGATATAGAACTAAACAGAACTTAGAAGAAACCTGGTGACTAGTATTAAACACAGTTAAGAAAATGAATACTTTAATGTTCTTAAAGGCAAAGCTTTTTTAACATTACTGCTTTTTTCTTATTTCAAAGAATGTGCTAAGTACTCTAGTCTTACATCTATGAGTAGTCAAAGTTCACATTCTCTTTCTAGTGGTCAGAATTGCTGACAGTGGTCAGATAAATTGAACTATTTATCTGCTATTAGTTAGTTCTGCAGGCAGTTCAGGAAAAAAAGCCTAGCTCATTTACTTCACACACTCACACAAGGCATTTCTGCACACAATTCTTCCATACACAAATTTACCCTCTTGGAAAAAAATGTGGGGCTTTATAAAATGTACTTCAAAACTGTAACATCACTAATTTTACTTCTATAAACCTAATGTAACTTCCCTTACGATTATTACAAATATACCAAAAATAAAAAGTCCCATTAGTATTTCCAAAAAACATCCTTTAACCTAACTATGTTAAGTCTAAAATGCAAGTGGACAGTGTTTGCATATGAACACACACTTAAGTCATTACTATTTACAAATACTCTTGAGAATTTCACAAATGCTATTATTAAAACATACCTTATTTCATCAGTTTCTGGCACTTTGGTGTAAGGTAGAATTGCTCGAACTCTCCTTCTGTCCTCCACAGGCTACAATTTAACAGAAGAGAGCAAAGATAATACCTTTCCCTCTTTCTAGTGTAGAATCCTTCTTGCTAGTGTTATGCTATTCTGAGGCAAATGACTGGTAACAGTCACTTATATCCCCCTTGCCAGTTTTAAATTTTCAAAGCTCAAAACCACTGAGAGAGAGAAAAGTATAAATGACAGCTATGAGAGCACTCATTTTGTTTGGTAGCATGACAGATGAAGTATGTTTATCATCTTCAAAATAAATTTCCAATAAGATAAACTTTATTCTGCTTAAAGTGGAAATTTCCAGAAGTTTAACATTCACAAGCATCTT